TTAGAGAATGCCATCAAATTCATGAGAAATGGAGATCTTACACCAACAGTGTAAGATCTACATTTAGAGCCCATAGACAACATTGCAACCTCAAGAAATACCCCTGAGAACCAGGTATTTCCTTCAATCCTGTGAGTAGTGTATTTGTGATGGGACTTCCCCAGAGGGCTGCTAGACACCTGACCCTGGATCTGTGGGGTCATCTCCACCTTGGCACTGCCGAGGATGGCAGAGCAGTACTGGCTTCCTCAAACCTTCCTCTTCGTGGCACTCATTGTTTTACATTCCTTTATAAGATGTGGCACTTTGAGCACATGCATTGGTCTCATTGTGACTTTAGCCCCACCATCCAGGTTAATGCTAAGCAAGTAAATGTTTATACAATCAGAGCCATTAAGTTACTCATGTTGGGGAACTTTGCCTATTCCACCGTGTGCTCTGTGTAACTGTCCCCTTAGAAAACACAGAACTCCACACCACATGGAGTCTGAGTGAAATTGTTAATGCTCTTTCTTAGAAGGAGAAGATCTCACTCTCCTTCTAAGTGTACTAGACTTTCCAGAAGACCATGCAGTTCCACCCATGGCAAGACAAACCTTCAGGGCATCCATAGAGACTTTCCCACTGGCCACTGCATGCCAGACTCTTAAAACAATGAATGGTCAGAGTGGATGGTGCAGCCAAGTCCAGGCTCTCGGGCTGCCAGCAGTCTCCTTTCACTGCTCACGCATGTAGGATAAAGGGGGAAATGCCTGGGATTCATGAAGTGGTTTTCTTCCCTTTGTATCTGGAAGGCCCCCGAGCTATTTATCTCTGGTTGAAATAGGTAAAACAAACAAACAAAATCCAAAAGTTTATTAGCAGCCCTATGTGCTATATACTTGGGCTGGTCACAATGTCTTTGTTTGTGTGTGTGTGTTTTTAAATCCTCACCGAGGACATGTTTTTTTTTCATTGATTCTAGAGAGAGAGGAAGGGACAGGGAGAGAGAAGCATTGATCAGTTACCTCCCATACTTGCCTTACCCAGGGATCAAACCCAAAACCCAGGTATGTGCCCTGACGAGGAATTGAACCTGCAACTCTTTAGTGCACAGATGATGCTCTAACCAACTAAGCCACATGGCTAGGGTAGTCACAGTGTCTTTTCACAGTTTATCTGTGCTAAGCTCATGATTCAGTGCAAACCCAGAGCTTTCTCCTTCCCTCCCACTCACATCCAACTCTTTCTCATCTTAGTCTCTATTCCCATCATCCTCTCAATGCGTTCTACCCAGGACTTCACCTAAATAATATTCATTCTACTAGCTCCTGATGATGTTTCTGAGTGTGACATTCATGGTGGATCCTGCTTCTGTTCTAAAAAGAACTAGGCCTGGGCTGGTGTGGTTCAGTGGTTGAGCATTGACCCATACACCAAGAGGTTGCTGGTTCTATTCCCAGCCAGGGCACATGCCCAGGTTGTGGGCCCAATCCCCAGTAAGGGGCATGCAGGAGGCAGCCAGTCGATGTTCTCTCTCATCAATATTTCCATCTCTCTCTCCCTCTCCCTTCCTCTTTCTCTAAAAATCAGTGGAGAAAAAAATGTTTTAAAGAGCTGGGTAAGCCCTGGCCAGTTTGGTTCAGCAGTTAGAGCGTCAGCTTGTGGTCTGGAGAGACCCAGGTTCGGATCCCGCTAAGGGCATGTACCTCGGTTGCAGTTTGTCCCCAGCCCTGGTTGGGTTGTGTGGGTGGCAGCCACTCGATGTGTCCCTTTCACGTCGATGTTTCTCTCTCTCTCTCTCTCTCTCTCTCTCTCTCTCTCTCTCTCCCCCTCCCTCCCTCCCACTCTATTTGAACAAAATATCGAAAAATGTCCTCAGGTGAGGATAAAAATAATAATAAAAATAAAGAGCTGGGTAAGTTCCTTCACCACCTGGGCTCACCTTTGAACTAAATGATTAACCTTCAGAGACTTCCTTTTCAAATCGCTGATAAATCTAGACAATGTTGAGCCTAGAAATGACCGGTGGAAAATAGCCCTAGTTATATCCTCAGAAGCTGATTGACTATTCTATGTTCTTTAATAACTATCAACAAATGTTAGGTATAATGGTAGTTTTTATAATGACTTTTAATAGTGTAGCCTGTGCTAAAAAATAAAGCAAAACCATAAAAAAAGGAAGTTTATACAGTTTACAATTTCATCCTCCTTACTCATATTTGCTAGCATTTTCTTTATCCCAAGTACCTAAACTGGGTCCCAATCTTATTCTCTAGTGTCTGGCAGATAATTTTTAGTCTTTTTTTTTTTTTTTTATCCTCACCTGAGGACATTTTTCCATTTTATGTTCAGATAGAGTGGGAGGGAGAGAGAGAGAGAGAGAAACATCGACATGAAAGGGACACATCGAGTCGCTGCCTCCCACACGACCCAACCAGGGCCGGGAACAAACTGCAACTGAGGTACATGCCTTAGCAAACCGAACCCAGGTCTCTCTGGACCGCAGGCCAACGCTCTAACCACTGAGCCAAACCGGCCAGGGCAATTCTTACATTCTTGCTAGAGCTCTGCTTGATAATTATGGTCAAAGCTGATATTATTTAAGAAAGGGAACTTTCAAGGATGCTGACTTTTTAAATTTAATTTATTGGAGTGACATTGGCTAATAAAATTATGTGGGTTTTAGGTGTATAATTCTATAACACAATCATCTGTATTCCTTATTGCGTGCTCACTACCATCACCATTTATCTCCCCTTTATGCTCTCCTACCTCCCGCCACCTCCTTTCCCTCTGATAATCACCATACTGTTGTCTATGAGTTGTTTTTATTTTTTCTTAATTCCTTCACCTTTTCCATCCAGCCCCCAAGCCCTTCCCCTCTGACAGTTGTCAGTCTGTTCTCCGTGTCTAGGAGTCTGTTTCTATTTGATTTGTTAGTTTATTTTGCTCATTAGATTCCACAAATAAGTGAAACCACATGGTATTTGTCTTTCTCTGACTGGCTTATTTCACTTAGCATAGTACTCTCCAGGTCCATCCATGCTGCCACAAAAGGTAAGATTTCCTTCCTTTTTTTAATAGATGAATGATATTCTATTCCACAACCTTTTTATCACTCATCTATTGATGGGCATTTGGGCTACTTTCAAATCTCGGCTATTATAAATAACATTGCAATAAATATAGGGGTGCATACATTCTTTCAAATTAGTGTTTAGGGCTTCTTTGGATATATTCCCAGAAGTGGAATCACTGGATCATAAGGCAGTTTCATTTTTAATTTTTGAGGTAACTCCATACTGCTTTCCACAGCGGCTGCACCAATCTGCATTCCCACAAACAGTGCACTAAGGTTCTCTTTTCTCCACATCCTTGCCAACACTTGTTTTTTGTTTGTTTGATAACCGTTCTGACAGTTATGAGGATTCATCTTGTTTGGGACACTGCGCTTCCTGGACTTGTGTGTATTTCTCCTTTACCAGGTTAGGGAAGTTTTCAGTCATTATTACTTCAAATAGGTTCTCTATCCCTTGCTCACTCTCTTCTCCTTCTGGTATCCCTATGGTGTGAATGTTGGTATTCTTCATATTGTCCCAACGGTCCCCTAAACTATTCTCATTTTTTTTTAATTCTGTTTTCTTTTTGCTGCTCTGATTAAGTGCATTCTGCTACCTTGTCTTCCAAATTGCTGGTTCAATTTTCTGCTTCATCCAACCTACTGTTTATTCCTTCCAGTGTATTTGTCATTTCAAATATTGTATTTTTCATTTCTGACTGATTCTCTTCTATGTCTTTTTTCATGTTGCTGTAGTTCTCACAAAGTTTCTTGTAGTTCTCACTAAGTTCATTGAGCAGCGTTATAACCATTCTTTTTTTTTTTTTTTAATCCTCACCTGAGGACATTTTTGCATTTATCTTCAGATAGAGCAGGAGGGAGAGAGGGAGAAAGAGAGGGAGAGAAACATTGATGTGAGAGAGACATATCGAGTGGTTGCCACCCACGTGAGACTAACCAGGGCCAGGGACAAACTGCAACTGAGGTACATGCCCCTAGTGGGAACTAAACCCTGGACTTTCTGGTTCATGGGCCGATGCTCTAACCACTGAGCAAAACCAGCCAGGGCTATTCTTTTGAACTTTGTATCTGGTAAATTGTTTGCCTCCATTTTATTTAGGGTTTTTTTTTCCTGGAAATTTCTCCTGTTCTTTCATTTGAGGCATGTTTTTTTGTCTCCCCATTTTGGCTCCTCTGTGTGTTTGTTGCTATGTATTAGTTAGAGCTGCTATGACTCCCAGTCTTGGTAGGGTGGCCTTATATAGAAGGTGTTTTGTCAGATACAGTGGCACAGTCTTCTTGATCATCTGTACTGGGTGTCCCAGGAATGTCACTTGTGTGGGTTATGTGGACCTTCCTGTTTCAACTGAGTCTTGCTATTGGCTCACTCAAGCATGGGGTCAACCCTCAGGCTGGCTGACTGTGAGGATCAACCCCAAACACACTGTATCGTGTACCTGCACAGGTGCTAACCACTTGGAGCAGTTTCCCTCAGCAGGGTCAGACGTCTGCCAAGATCTCCCTTTGGGTATGCCATTTGTGAAGGTAATTGGATCCTGCTCTGATGTTTGAAGTTGGTCACTGGATGTGTTGGTTCTAGGGCCTCTTGGGAGGGACTCTGGTGCAAGTCAATGTCAGACACTGCCTGTGACTAGCCCTGGGTAACCCTGGGAAACCTGTTTGGAGCTACAAAGCAATCCACAGTTTGTGGTTGCCTCTGCTGGGCCTGGGTGTGCATAAGAAGGATCAAGCTGTGCACCAAGGCTGGCTTTCACAAGCACCAGATCCTGGGGCAGGTCAGCAAAAGTCTTAAAGAACCCTGCAATTCACTGTTGCCTGCCTTCATCTGTTGGCTGCCTGTTCAGCTCAGTCACTGAAAGAGCTTCTGGCTGTATTCAAGTTTTATGAGGTATGTTCTCAGCAAGTCACCAGGTAGGGGTGAGTGGTGTTCACTATATCTAAAAATATGGACCGCTTCACAGATTTTCATGTCATCCTTGTTCAGGGGCAATGCTAATCTTCGCTGTATTGTTCCAATTTTAGTATATGTGCTGCTGAAGCAAGCATCAAGGATGCTGATTTTTAAAGAAAGATCTTTTAAAGGGTTTTCAGGGTTTTTTTGCTGTAGGAGCACTCTAGCAGACTCAACCAGACCACTGTCTACTTACTAGCTCAAACTCTAGACCATCTCAAAAATAGGGTGTGTCCCTTAAGAATATTTGTGGGGAGACATCTCCACCTCCTTCTGAGGAAAACCAAACTCTCTTCAGATGGGCTATTGTAAGACATATGACTCTGCAAAGTTGCTGTCCCCTAGGAAATATTATATAAGTGATATGTCCTCAGCCTCCTGTGTGTCAAACACCACCAAATCCATCTCTCACATATTTGAGGTATTATTCACTCATTTAGCAAGTGTTTATTAAATCTGATTATTTTAAGAAACTTGTTCTAAGGGTTATATAAAATGCAAAAATTAATAACAGAATTTTTTATTCATGAGCAAGAAATGAAAAACAACCACAAAATGCAATGAAAATTAAATGTAATATAATAACATTATGAGGGATACAGATGAAAGACATTCATTCAGAAGAGAAGTCTCCATAGAAAAAAACAGCATGTATTAAGGAAAGACTTAAAGGATAAATAAGATTTGAATGGCTGATAATTCCAAGCAGAATGAATGCCACATGCAAAAGCACAAGTGCATGAAATATGTAAAGAATGAAGCCCTGGCCAGTTTGGCTCAGCGGTTAGAGCATCGGCCTGCAGTCCAGAGAGACCCAGGTTCAATTCCCGCTAAGGGCATGTACCTCGGTTGCAGTTTGTCCCCGGCCCTGGTTAGTCATGTGGGTGGCGACCACTCGATGTATCCCTTTCACGTCGATGTTTTTCTCTCTCTCTCCCTCTCACTCTATCTGAACATAAAATGGAAAAATGTCCTCGGGTGAGGATTAAAAAAAAAAAAAAAAAAGAATGAAAAAAAATCACAGATTTTATCTAGAGTCCATGGGAGAATGTAATGAGAGGAGAACCTGGATATGTCTTGGGAACATCATTAAGAACCTTGAATCCAAAACTCCCACTAAAGAATTTTTATTTATTCATATATTACCTGAATTTTTTTTTATTTGTGAAAGTTGGGCTTTTATTTCACAGATTTTCTCTTTCCTTTGCATTAATCCAAATAATAGTAAAAAAGCATCAAAGATGCAGGCAATCTTGAAACAGCAATAGAGTGTCTATGAATTCTAAATCAGTTCACCTGTAGATATGGATCTGTATCATGAATGGCTAAATAAAGCAGAAAAGTTAGCACCCTCAAATATAAATTACTCATGGATGAAGACCCAGTACTGGAGTAAAGATAAAAATAATGTTGAATAAAAAATAAAATAAATGTTAAAATATTGAAGCCTTGGCCAGTTTTTCTCAGTGGTTAGAGCATCAGCTCTTGGACCAAAGAGTCATGGGTTTGATTCCCGGTCAAGGGCATGTACCTGGGTTGCAAGTTTGATCCCTAGCCCCAGTTGGAGTCATGTGGGAGGCAACTAATCGGTGTATCTCTTTCACATCCATGTTTCTCTCTGTCTCCCTCCCTCTCTTCCACTCTTACTAAAAAAAAATCAATGGAAAATTTTCCTTGGGTGAGGTTAACAATAACAACAACAAATATATATAGAAGTGTGTGTGTGTGTGTGTGTGTGTGTGTGTGTGTGTATGAATGAAACAGGGTATAATGATGTTAGGACAAAGGAATTCATGGAAGAATCAGTAAGTCAGTAATAAAAGTTTGGTTAAAAAAGGTAAGCAATGATAATTTTTGGTTTGGGGTCTTATTTAGGTCACCCTGCAGATCACTACTTTCTCTTCTAACACACAGACACACCAGGAACCAAGCATAAGACAGGGGCTCTGCAAAACAAGCCTAAGTGTTCAGTGGTGGGAAGATATGTCCTTCACAGAAATAAAGGATCTCTTCAGTTCAAAGTATGACACTCATCCCTCTTTCCTTTCAGCTTCAGATGTCCTCAGATTTCCAGATCATCACAACTCCTAAAGCTGCACACCTCTGATTGGTCATCCCAGCAGAGGTCAGAGGAGCCATGGGAAACCATACCACTGTCACTGAGTTTGTCCTGCTGGGGCTCTCAGATGCCTGTGAGCTGCAGATGCTCATCTTCCTGGGATTCCTCCTGACCTACCTCCTCACTCTACTGGGGAATCTCTTCATCGTGGTCATCACCCTCATAGACAGGCGACTCCAGACTCCCATGTACTACTTTCTTCGCCACTTTGCTGTCCTGGAGATCTGGTTTACTTCAGTCATCTTCCCCAAGATGCTGACCAACATCCTGACCGGATACAAGACCATCTCCTTGCTAGGCTGTTTCTTACAAAGTTTCCTGTATTTCTTCCTGGGCACCACAGAGTTCTTCCTATTGGCAGTGATGTCCTTTGACAGGTACGTGGCCATATGTAATCCCTTGCGCTATGCCACCATCATGAGCAAAAACGTCAGTGTCCAACTAGTTCTTTCTTCTTGGATGACAGGATTTCTCCTCATCATCATTCCAGCTTTCATCACAACTCAGCAGCCATTCTGTGGCCCCAATACCATTAATCATTTCTTCTGTGACAAGTTTCCACTCCTAGAACTCATATGTGCAGACACAAGTCTGATAGAGCTTCTGGGTTTTATTGTGGCCAACTTCAGCTTACTGGGCACTCTGTCAGTGACAGCCACCTGCTATGGCCACATCCTCTACACCATCCTGCACATCCCTTCAGCCAAGGAGAGGCAGAAAGCCTTCTCAGTCTGTTCCTCCCACATCATTGTCGTGTCTCTCTTCTATGGCAGCTGCATCTTCATGTATTTCCGGTCAGGCAAGGGTGGCCAGGGGGAGGACAAGAACAAGGTGGTGGCCTTGCTTAACACGGTGGTGACCCCTATGTTTAACCCTTTCATCTACACCCTAAGAAACAAACAGGTGAAACAAGTGTTTAGTGAGAAAATGAGCAAGCTCCTTAAAAAGATGAGCTGGACCTGAAGGAGGGGGAAAGTTGCCTCATTTTCCCTGCAAATGCAGCTCTTGTCCTGATCTTCATAAACTATCCCCTCATTGACAGTTTTATACCATGTGCTCCAGTCTGCTGTAATTTCTTACATGTATCATTGGTGACTCATGAAATCTTGTCAGAGGGTACAGAAAACTCAATATACCACTACTGTATCTGCTATGTCTTTTTTTGTTTTTTATGCATGTATGCTATGTCTTAATGTTTCTGATCCTAGCCTCTATCTGAGTTTCTTAATCTTGCCTCATTTTTTTAAAATCATCACCTGAGGATATTTTTCTATTAATTTTTTTTTCAGATAGAGTGGAAGGAAGGGAGGGGGGACAGAGAAAGATAAAAACATCAAAGTGAGAGAGACACATTGATTGGTTGCCTCCCAAGGTACATGCCCTTGGCTAGGGATCAAACCTGTCTCTTCAGCCCATGGGCCAATGCTCTAACTGCTAAGCCAAACCTGTCAGGGCAATCTTGCCTCATTTTTAAGTTGTAATTATAAGCTTAGTACTTCTTCTTCACTAGGACCTTTCAAAATTAGTAAAAATATCCTCAACAAGAATATATTTATGATATACTTTAGAAATATTATATACATGGATAAATTAATGAGATAGATAGCCAAGAAATGTTGAACAAAAAAGTATCAGATATTAAGTTGAGAACTAACAAATAAAAGAATGGAACTGGCTAGATCATCTGGAAAGATGATGCAGTTTATATAAATATCTAATAGATGATAAAAGTAGACTTTATAATCAGTAAAAAAAAAAAAAAGGTCAATTCAATAAATGATTCCACAACTATTGTACCATGTTATATGTCAGATACTATGTTTTACTGGAGGGAAAAGTTGAATATCATCTAGTATCTTGGAGGAGAAGCTAAATTAGAGCCTCACTTCATATCTTAAGCTGAAATTAATTCAAAATTAATTAAATAGATAAATATAAAACATAAAAACATAAGAAAAAAATTGTAAAATTATATTAAGGATGTGTAGGGAGTTTTAATGAGAGAAACATAAAAATAATTTATAAACTTGGCTATGTAAAATATTTTACTTTATGTCAGAAAAAAAAACATAAAAATATATAATAACCATATGTACTTTCTACCTACCTAGCATCCATTCCCCATTCTTAAAGTAATAGAACTCTGATTTTTGCCAGGAAAGCCCCTTCCCATTTTTAGTCCATATAATTAAGGTAGTGCTAACTTCATCCCCCACCAGTTGGAGCATGACCATGGTTATTGGCTCAGGGTTGGCTATATGACTAAAATCAGGCCACTGAAACAAAATGAGTCTCAGTTCCAAGATATTTATGGTAAATGATGAAAGAAAGGCTCTCTCTGTTGGACTTAACACTGGGAGAATGTACACCTAAGAAAAGTATAAACTACTTACAAAACACAGGGTGGGGCACAAGTAGGCTTACAGTTGTAATTAAGCAAAGCAGAGTTTATTCTTGTATTATTATTTATTAATGCTGTAGTATTTTCCATATGAACAACTGTTAACCTACTTTTTCCCACTTGTAATTTTATGAGGGTAACAAAACTTTGATAGCAAAACTGAAAAGCACATTACAATAAAGAAAAATTACAGCCCTGGCTGGTGCAACTCAATTGGTTGAACATCATCCAGTGCACCAAAATGTTACTGGTTTGATTCCCACTCAGGGCACATACCCAGGTTGCAGGTTCAATCTCCAGTCAGGGTGCGTGCAGGAGACAATCAATAAATGTTTCTCTTGCCCTGGCCGGTATGGCTCAGCAGTTAGAGCATCGGCTTGCAGTCCAGAGAGACCCAGGTTTGGTTCCCACTAAAGGCATGTACCTCGGTTGCAGTTTGTCCCTGGCCCTGGTTGGGTCGTGCAAGTGGCAGCCACTCGATGTGTCCCTTTCATGTTGATGTTTCTCTCACTCACTCACTCTCTTCCTCTCTCTCTCTCTCCCACTCTATATGAGCAACAAAATGGAAAAA